ATCACGGATAGAGAGAAAGCCAGAAGATAAGATGCAGGCCTTGGACTGGTCCGCGAGCACGTATGTTTCATCGCCCTGTTGCCTAAGGGGTGAGCGTATCATTGCGCATTGCATTTATAGCTGCGCGAGCCCGGTGGTCAGCGTGAATAGAGCTAAGAGATATTTTCAATAATAGAAAACAAGCGTTTTGGTAAATGAATACGAATACTTGAAAGAATAAAACATAAAGGACAGGGATGAAACCATATTCGTAAAAAATGAGTGAGAGTCGCAAGAGCGAGCAATATTCAACGTGACAAAAAGTACGTAGAGTGCGATGAAAGGAATGTTTATTCAATTTCACTAAGCTGCGAGAGTCAGCACATCGAACAAACGGGGAGATACGTTAACCATCGACTCAGGGAATAGAATTTGAAAGCCTCAAAGGCCTCAAGTGAGTCTTCTCACGCAATCGTCATTCACAACCGCACGTGCGATAACTGCACTCTTTATTTGTCTGATACTATAATACTGAAGGGGGGGGGGGGCACACCAAATCAACAGATTTGGGGAGTAGACATTGAATGATTTGTCATGGGACTGCCAACAACAATAAATGAAAACCTTATATATTACCGACAAAGAAAATGGACAAATTTGTAAAACCAGAGGTGATTAGATTACTGACATTTCGTCCAGATGTTAGTGGTGTTTAAAATATACACTTATAGTAAATTTCCTTTTACTTCACCAATTCTCTGCTTTTGCCCTTCGAGAACGTTGAAAGTTTTCAGGGAGGCTCAAAATGTTGAGTAATTACTTTGTGTACTTGTATATGTTGTTGCTAACTTAAAGAATTTTCGTTTCCGTTACCGTCCTCTATATCTTATATCTTTATGTAATTGTAGATAGTTTAAGCTTCCGCCACTTTCGACGCCGAAACACATACAAGTATGATACATGAAACTATTCGTTCATCCTATAAGCTTCACTTCTGGACAGATCAATTACACCTCATGTATAAACGAAAACAAAACATTTTCATCATACCCTGTGGACAGCGGACTAAGCAGGCGTGGGTTGCTTGAAGTTCAGCTAACAAGTTCATCGTAGTGAAATAGAACCATGCAGAAAAACCGTGTTTGCATCAGAGTTTTCGCGCTAATGTTTGAGACGTGAACCACTGAGTCTCCTGATCCGTATAAATTGCTACGCAGGTGAAAGGACCGGCTTCGTAGGACAACGATGTGGACATTCGATTACGAATGGGATTTAGGAAGGGTTTCATAGAGGCCTGTCTGCCTCTAAACTTTCGGAGGGCTGTTTGCCCTATTCGATATAATCAGCGTTCGAGACTTCTCATGGGTTAGTCGCGTTAATAAAGCGGTTATAATTTCATGTGGGCACGTAGAGTGCTACCATGATCCAATGTTGTGATTAGGATAAACATTCTTTTTTTAAAGAAAGGTGATGTCATGAAAAGTGCGCACGAGAATTTAAAAGCAGGGGCAGGTTGCCGTTCAAGTTAGTATCTGATCATCGATCCATTAATGAAATGAAGGTGACGTCGCCCACTTATCGCGAACAAATGCGGGATTGTCTGGACGCGAATATTTATTAGGACTTTGCTAATCCCCAATATCCTCGGCGTAATAAAAAAAAAATGTGTTGCCCGCGTAGCATATATTCCTCATGTTGATTCAAGTGATGCTCATAAAAAGTCAAGTATTGTAGTTAACATTATTTTGCGGGTACAAATTAGCATACAAAATGTACTTTCGCCAGTTTCGTAAAGCTTTGATTCATTGGATCATGTACATTTCATTCACAGGCATATTTTCGATTATTTCCTTCTCGGAGACCATGCACGATAATAAAAAAAAAGTGCTCGTTATGTCCTCAAATGTGGCTTTTGATTCTCGCAGGAGATAATGATACTGTGTTTCTCAAGCTCATAAACAATTATAATACATGTACACGTGACGAGACAAATAGTGAATGGATTTCTTGAGCACTACGAGCAAATACCTCGTACCAGCACGCGTCGTATCGCGTTCCAAGCGACGGCGTGTGCTTCCAAAACACCTCTTATTGAATACATTTTGTTTCTTGTGCAATTATACGACATATATAAAACGCCTTAAAGTCAATGTGGAGGTGTGTAGTGGTTACCATACCCCTTCCAGGACAGTGGAAGGCCCAGAGCTAAAATCATGACTTAGCCGTTTATTTCGACTTTCGGCGGTTTCGTAAAACTTCGATTCTCTCCATTGCGATGCGTCTCTTTTGGTCGCCATGGATGAGATCCGAGCTTCCACAGTTCGGCTTGTCTCGAACTGCGAGGCGTCGTTGGAACGAGGGCGGTTTCCAACGGCTATCAATTCGATTGTAGTAGCGAATGGGGTTTCGCGCTGTTTCGTGGAAAACACTTTCCCCATTGCGTCGTGGAAAATAAGCCTTTATTCATTCTTTCCGCTTAAAAATAGCCCCACCCACACTCCGCAATAAACAGCGGCGCAGCAGGCGTCCGTGCCTCGCTGCTCATCCCCTTGAAGATGCATCCGCTCTGTGCACAGTCTCCAGATTGGCTGTTTTGTTGCTGCAGTTCCGGATATGCAAGCAGTATAGTTATACTTGGTGGTTGTTTTTGTTGTCGATTTGTTTGCGTTAGTTTGAGGTTCTAAAGGACATTGTTTTGAGTTGTTCCATTGTTTTTTGTTTTGGATCGAGAACAAAATGAAGTACGGAAATGCGCAATAGAGATCGTATGAAGAAGACGTGGCAATTCCTTTTTTCCCCGAATGATTGTGTGGGAGGTGGCGCTGGAAAGAAGCCAGGACGAGTTCATTAGTCATTAACGCGTTACTTTGAGTAGTTAGTTAGTTTGGCAATCTCCCGAAGTCGCAGTTCGTTTATTATTGTGTTGCTTATTGATGGTGCTCTTCGAGAATAAATGACGTACACTGCAGCCGGGAGCAACTCGAACGAATTGTATCTTTCACAACAAAGAGACAGAGGGTCTGAAATTCATAAAGAGTCCTCATATATAATGACAACTTTATTCAAATCCACTTCAATTGCCGGTCAATCGTTTTTAACGTGAATGTACTGAGGTTCAACATCAATCCTGTATTTTGGTTTGCCCGTGGTGTAGTTTGCTATTCTCAAAGTGGTCGGCTTACTCGAATGCGTGCAAAAATTTGTTGTAAGGGTATCCTTTAAGTAAGAACGCAATGTGAAACACGAAGCGCATTTTCGAGGAACTCGAAGCCGTTGAATGTGAAGTTTGATTCACTTGACCGGAATGCTAGATGTGGCTGGCTTTCTAGTTCTTTTTCTCTCTAGGGTGAATCAGAAAAAAGGTCTGTCCGTATCCTTGAATCTACGCCGTCAACAAAAATCAAAACGTTTGGAAATCTTGCCAAACCTTTTATATAGGCCGTTCATGTTCCGAAGTCGATGAAAAGAAATGGATGATGTTTTCTGGTATGTATTTTGCAAATACCTGTGGGTTTTGGTGGTTTGTTTTTAACACGATGCTAACGACTTGATTATCGATAAAAACCTTTCATGAAAAACTAGAAGCTTATGTCTACGAGTAAGGGGCTTTGTCTAACAAAATCATATTTGTAAAAGGATTTTTTTTATAATTTTTTTTCATTTCTGTTTTATCCAATTTTGTCTTTTTGACAGGAACAGGTGTTTACCTTAATTTATCGAACCGATCTTGTATTGTTGACACCGATGGATGTTTATCGTTGTTTTTCAAACACAATCCAAGGTGTACGGCCTACTCATAAGTTGCTGCCTATGATTACCATTTTCAATTGCTCGGTGACTTAATATGGTGTGTCATCAGTTGCTCAGCGCTTCACTAATTGATTCAGATTGTATAAAAAAACTCTGCAGTACAATTTATTGTAACAATATTTTGTGCCTTGGTGAAATAAATGCATTTTTTTAAGACTACGAGGAACGTAAACACGATATATATCAAAATAATTTTGCTAATCTTTCAAAGTGTAATATGCAGAGATATCGCGCACGGTTCAACAGTAAAACCATGCAAAGTATGCCATGCCAATTATGAAAATATGTTGTATAACCGCGATACTTTTTTTTTAAATTACGGTAAACAATTTAAATGTGCTTATAGTTCTCTCACTGTCTCTGAGATCTGCATCGGAAAGTTGCTAGAACCGGTGCCGTGTCGATCTTTCTAACTATAGGGGAGAGTCGGGAGGTTTGGGACGGTTGGAGGAATGGGACAGCTCGTTTATCTCTCCAGGAGTTAGTTCAAACACGTTCATCGGCTGCTCACGAGATGGCGCTAGCATATCGATAGCCTGGCTGTAATGGTGGCCGTCTTCACCGGACGTAGCTTTCTCTGACTACAACTCTCGTTTTTCACGTGTCAAAAGTAAGTATCCGCTTACTCAATTACACCTCTCTCAGTTTTAAACCGCCCTGCCTATGCTGATACCAATTTTTCTTCGAAAACACGCGTTAGGGTCGTGCTTCGTGCAGTAACAAGTTTAGCCCTAACAAGAGAATTTTCGCCATTGAATGTATTTTTCGTTGGGCGAACCACCTGGGGAGGAATGGGACATTTGAGTCGCGGGTGGAATGGGACAGTGTCCCATTCCTCCCCACCATACGGCTGGTGCTGTGTCTAGCGAATAAGCTTCAAAGCTGCGCCGCTTTAGTTCCGAAAGCAGTCATTTTTTTATTTGTTACTTAAAGTGTACAAATGCTTGGTGCCGTGAGGTTAAATAACAGACTGGCTGTTTCTGCGACACTTTACGTTAAGACGCGCTAAACCAACGGGGCATCATAAAATGCAATGTTTCTCCACTAAAAAGGTGTGATTACTGTACACATTTGCGAGAAACCCGGAATAAGCACGTGAATAATAGGCAGCAATATGAGTGCTGCTACGTGCATGCAAGGACGTTAAGCGTGCTTGGTGTGCGTAAATATTTAAATTTGCCAATTTTTGATCCATTTCCATTTTCAGGAAGATGCCGCGGGTTTACCAGAGGAAGCATCCCGACAGAGCTCAAACATCGAACAATCTGATCCTGGATGGTGTGAGATTGGTCTGCGATGAAAAGAAAAGTATAAGAGACGTAGCAGAAGCTTTTGAAATATCAAAATCATCGCTTGGCCGAGCAGTGAAGAAGTACAGAGAATGTGGTGACACAGGTGGCATCATGTTCAAGTCCAATTTGGTCTACGGAATTGTCTTCACAACAGAAGATGAAGTACTCTTGAAAGAATATTTGCTGAAAGCAAGCAAAATGCATTATGGGCTTACGAGAATGCAAGTTCGTTCACTGGCGTACGAGTTTGCAACAGCCTTAAAGAGGAAGTGCCCGGCGTCATGGGAACAGAAGAAGGTAGCTGAAAGAGACTGGTTTATGGGCTTTATGGACCGCCATCCCGAGCTATCGCTTCGATCGCCAGAAGCGACCAGTCTGGGTCGGGCAACAAGCTTCAATAAGAACAACGCCGATGCTTTCCTTTCAAACCTGAAAAGTGTCTACGACCGATACAAGGTAACTCCGGACCGCATCTACAATTGTGATGAAACGGGCTTCACAACTGCACACAACCCACCAAAGGTAGTAGCAGCACGTGGAGAAAAGCAAATCGGTCAGGTTACATCCGCAGAACGCGGCGAACTGGTGACTGTTTTGTGCACTGTCAATGCCATCGGAAACGCCCTGCCACCAGTGTTCATTTTCCCACGCGTGAGGTTTAAAGATTTAAAGTTTAAAGCCTCGGTTTGGCAAGCAAGTCGGGCTGGATGTCGAGCGAACTGTTTTTGCTGGCGTTAGAGCACACTGTGAGACATGCGAAATGCTCGAAGGAGGAGCCAATTCTCTTGATACTCGACAATCATGAAAGCCTTGTGAGCATCAACACCATCAACAAGGCCAAAGAGAGCGGAGTCATCCTGCTGACCTTTCCCCCACACTGTAGCCACCGCCTGCAGCCACTTGATGTGTCCGTGTACGGACCATTTAAATCTCGGTACAACGCTGCTTGCAATGATTGGCTCATAAATAACCCCGGGAAGACCATCTCCATCCACAATGTTGCACAACTAGTTGGATCCGCCTACGTATTAACGGTGACACAAAAGAACATAATCTCGGGCTTTCAGAAAACTGGAGTTTGGCCTTTCAATAGCGAGCCCTTCACTTCGGATGACTACATGATGTCATCAGTCACTGACAGACCCTTAACGTCCGTAAACGGAGAGGTGTCACGACAGACGGCCACCATCACCGAGAAAACGGACAGCGCAAGCCGACTGGAAAGTGATTTGAACTTTGAGACAAACGGCCATGGAGCTAGCAACGTCCCTACGGATATCTTCCCACCTACTGTCGCCAACGCAGCCTCGACGTCAACTGCATCTCCCAGCCGGATTGTTCCGAGCGACCTAAGGCCCTACCCTAAGGCTGCACCGCGTAAGACAGGGTAAAATGGAAGGAAGAAAGGTACGACAAAAGTCCTTACGGATACACCCGAGAAGGATGCGATTGAACAAGAAGCTGCAGAGAGGCTGGCACGACAGAGTCTGAAAAAAAGAGCGCTTATCACAGCTAAGACTGTCGCCACTACCCGCCCAAAAAAGAAACGGCGACTTCAGAAGGAGTTCAGTTCTTCAAGGGAAGACAACACTGTTGCCGTTGCATTTGATGATTCAGACAGCGACATGTCGGGTTCCGATAATGAGAGGCGGGACATTTCTGAGGCCGATTGCCCAAACAAAACTTTTCAAGTGACAAAAGGCGATTTTGTCCTTGTCAGATTTGGTAAGAAAAAATCTGACGTTTATTACACGGGTAGAGTCGAAGTAGTGACAACATTGACATCAGTGTCCAGTTCCTTCGAAAGAAAGAAGAGAGCTCAAAGTTTTACTTTCCTCCGCAGAAAGATATAGGGACTGTGCCAATAACGGATATTGTGAAGAAGCTGCCAGCGCCAAAAAGTATTGGGGGAACGAAGCGCCTGCAAGCTTGCTTCAAGTTTGATGTGGAACTATCGGCTTTTAATGTCCGCTGAAGACGTTGGGGCCGATATTTTACTGGCGTCCCATTCCTCCCAAAGGATGTCCCACTCCACCCGAAGGGACGGGTGGAATGGGACAGATTTTAGCTGTTAGAATCTATTTTTTTGCAGTTGCTCTAGAAGTGGCAGTAACCTGTGTTTCGCAGAATTTGCGCAGCTTGTTTCGACTTGTACTATAATCCATCAACCATCTTTTTACGTTCAAAATAAACAAAACTAAAAATGCATTTGTGAAAAGCGTCCCATTCCTCCCGACTCTCCCCTACAAGTTTTTTCTTTACATAATATTGAGAGAACATATTCCTCAATTATTCAAAGACCTTCACGGTGACTTATCACAGCTGTGAAGTATTTTTCTTGCAGTGTGAGTCGCTTGCAACCAGATAAAGATGTGCACACAGCACCTGATGTAGTAAGAGCTGTAGAGTACTTCATCAGCACATGATGATGACCATTACCAGTCGCATTATAATAATCGGAAAAACCAAAAGATTACGCAGTCATATTATTTCTGGGGGATGGCTCTTCATTTGATTTTCGCTAACTGTATTGTGATTATTATAATTTACCTGTCTAACAGAGCCCGACCAAGAATCAAACACGTTGTATGTGTACTCGGTTCTAAGCCTGAAAAAATAAGGCGGACTTCTTTCATGCTGCGTTCAATGTAGAGTTCTTTGAGCCCTTGCTAAAGGGTTCAAGGGCTCGAAAGAGCACGCAGGTAGGCAGCGTCAGAGCAGCAGCGACTCATACAAAGGAAAGTTAAAGCAGGTTGCGTACAATAGACACTGCTGAGTATGGCGCACGTGACGAGCTCTTGCTCTAATCCTATGGAATTTGAAGCGGAAAGGACGGGGTAATCCCTCGGTGCCCAGCGATCGTTAGTGCGCCTGAGAGCTCAGACTCCTAAATCCCCCCTCAAGAAACATAGGGAGTGAAGGAGAGAGACGTACGAGGAGAAGGGGATAAAGTAAATACAGATCTTAGAAGTGTAAGCGTCTTGTCTCTGCAGAAGGATGGCCCTGCAAAGAGCGTGGGCATAGTAAGCACGAAGAAGCCACTGGTACTTTTATTTTAAAAGTTTTAATCATAAGAAAAAAAAAAACTACTGTCCAAGACAGCTTAAGAAACGAGGGGCTTGCATTGTTTTCCTAGTGCTTCCTGCTTTGTGATTTTTTCTCCGGCGCTCTTATCGGATAATGACGCAACCTCATAGGCTGCGGAGTGACCGCAGGCTCTTCGGGACTTGCCATCCCTTGCGTATTCTGAGCAGTCAGCAACTTTACATTAAAAATACATTTTAGCTTCCTGTCTTAGAGAACAATCAGGTTTGCAGTCTCTACAAATTAAAAAAGGATTTTAACGCAATGTCCGCAACCAACATGCCCCCCCCCCCCCCCCCAAAAAAAAAAAGAAAGAAAAAAGAAACAGTTTTTTTTATTGCAAAAACAAATTACGCCTTACCAAACGCTTATTCTTCTTTCCGATGTAGCGATATCGGTCCTATTTAGATGCCAAAGTTTCAGGACTTACCATTGTCTCATTCCAAACTTATATTAACTTATTAACTGACTCCCTTAAATTTTAAATGCGCTAAATGAGACCCGTTTTTGCCCGCTTGAACTGGCGCCGTTCAGCTTCATGTGTTGGAGAGCTCCGTCGACCGCCATTTTGAAATTGAAAATATTGAAAAATCGCTCAGAACATCTGATTGAGACAAAGCTTAGTTCTGAAACTTTGGCGTATATGGACGGAACCGCTAGCGCTATATTGGGCGGAGATCGAACGTTCGGCTATTTGTAGTTTATTTTTGTGGTGAATAAGATTTTCGTTAATTACTACGTAAAAGCAAAAAAAAAAAAAGGAAAGTGAGCGTCTTGCCTTTTTTGCTTGTTTTTTGGCGCTTTTACGAAGTAATTACGTATGACCCAGCTCACTTGCAGATTTTGTTACACACTGTTCCTTAACTTTGAGGAAACTTCAAACAAGCGCTCGTGTCATGTTCGCACTAAAACTATGCTGGAGAGTACCTCGTCAAGTTTGTGGGAAACCTTGTGGCACAAAGATTTAGACCAGATTGACGCCTTATTAATTAATCCCTGGCAGCCCCCACAGCAAGTTCGAAATGCGCAATCGTCCACTCGAGCGGCGCTCCGCCACTGAACAAAGACCGGCAACGGGGCTTTCCAAGCGAGGCGCACGGTGAGGACGATCACATAACTTACAACATGTTGTTGAACCAGTGCGTTGTGTCATATTTCAAGGCGGAGAGAAGCATAAGAAATCAAACAACCTTCAGGTAAAACTCCAACACGCGGGTATTTCTCAAGAAAGAATGCACCACAAGTGCGGCTTCAGTAAACTTTTTTTTCTCGAGGAAGATGATTTTCTATGATGCGCTTAATATTGAGCTTCGAGATGTCTTCTATTCCTTTAACTTTATTATATGTTAACGGCCAATAACTTGACAACATATACAAAAAAGCACCACCACATAAATATAAACTTTGATTGGTCTTGATGCATCAGCACAAATCCCGCCTAGACGGAGCTATCCAAAATAGTTTTCCAACTTATCAAAAAAATGTCACAATTGCAGTCAAGGTCAAACACTAGCGTTAAAGCTTTAAACACCCCCAGAAAAAATATCTATACAAAACAGTCAAAGTTAATTATTGTTGTTCAGAAAGCCATATATACGGTAACCGTGATCAACAAGCGAGGAACTGAGTAGAAAGCATGCAATAAAATGTGATTGTAGAAAACAGCTTTAGTCGTTCTACAAGATATATAATGACTTCCGCTTCCTGAGCCCATGTCTGTCTACTTTTACATTTCTAGGTTTCACTAGCCCACACTCGAAATTCGCTCAAACGCGCCACATCCGCTACCCAAGAAACTTGGAGATTGTCTGCTGGTCGTTTCTAGTAAGAATGCGGTCTGAGGGCGGCCGCGCTCCGTGTTGGATTCATCCAAAGAATCCCCTGTTCTGTCCAAAGCATTTTCTTTCTTCTTCGCCAAAGTCTGGGAACACAAAAGGCAGATAAATGTTTTGGCCAAAGAACCGTCTTTTTGTTTTAGTCTTTGAGGAAAGCAGGAATGTGATGTCCTTGGATGTCACCAGAACACTGCGAAAACATACGGTGACTTTGGGTGTGGTTTAGAAAGCCTCAGGTTTAACGTTTGCCACATAGGCTAGAGCAGTTATTTAAGCGACTGAGTGTTCTTAAGTCAGGAGTAAAGCTGACGCTTGATATCAGTTTGCTTCAACGTGTTCGACGCGAGTAGGGTCAAACATTTATCTTTTTAAAGCATAGCATCCGTTTTAACGGATCCCATGCTCCCAGACATTTGTTCGTCCGTCTGTCTCTCCGTGCATCTCCTCGTCAAATATAACCGAAAAATTGACGGCAGGCGACATTGTGGTATGACGGGACACCGCGACTTGTCATTGTTCTCTTTGCGTCACCCAATGTCGCGTCACGTAACAGCGTGAAGTCAAACTTGTTCCATGACTTGACGTCATGTTACAATAAATGACCTGCTAAATATTTCGGGAAAGTTAATAAACAGTACCATTCTTCACTCCCTGAAGGAATCGCTCAATGCCTTAAGACAAATTGAAACACTTACTTTCTAAATTCTGCCTTCCACTTGTTGATTAATGATAAAAGGCGCTAATAATTTTTTCGTTAAGATTTTGTGGGTAGCTTGATTTTTTAGCTCAATCCTTTATTTCAAAATGTGTCTAACGTTATTTTGCGAACTTCAAATAGGTGCAAGCAACCTAGATGAAAACTACTGCGAATCTGCCCGACTAATAATCAAGTGAGCCCGTAATATGCTTTTTTTATTTAGTGACTGCATTTCATGTGCAATGATGTCGAACTCTCGTTTATAGCTTGGCACTCTGGTCTGAATATAATATATCCGTTTTATCCAGCTTAAAGTTGCTGTTCTGAACTAAAAAAAAATAAGCATTTCTCCCCTGTCATTGGCCGCACCATCAATGCCGACTCCGGGATATTTATACATTTGAAGACGGAAGACAAATATATAAGGGGAACTTCAAGAAGAACCAATAAAGGCACGGCCAGCAGGATCAATTTAGTGGTGATTGTATTCTTCCACCTTCGCCCCCTTGTTAAAATCCAGGATAGAGTTTTGTGGAAACGAGCGCCAGTGGCCTACCCTTGGACACTACAAGAGCTACAGAAGGCACTAATAAGGCTCAATATAAACAACAAAAGAAAACCCGATAAACAGAAAGTCAGGACGCAAACGAGAGGGTGAAGATTAAACAACATAGAACCCAAGACTACAGGTAAGGAACCGACGACACACAGGTGAAGAGTCTCCAAAATTCACTTAAGACTTTTATGAGTTATTCGTGCTTTGCTTACCCGTAGT